CGTACGCGCCTACAATTGTACGCAATTCCTTTGAAAACTGTGATTTGGTTGTCATTAACATCCTGTATATCATTATGGTAGTTGCTAGTTTTGTTTTTCGTTGAAGCATCCTTGACAAATTTAAAGTTTGTAAGCTGGATATCACGTTTGTCTTATAGTTTCTTGGAGACAATACCATCAATATAATTATGGTCATCGGAATAACAGAATATATTATAAATACCCTCTTTTTTAAGGGGACAAAATCGTCCAATTACTTATCCTGCCCTATGTGGTCCTGGGAGTGTCAGACTCTTACTGGCTAAAAACCACCATAATACTTCTCCTGCTCCTGTTTTGGGCCTTGCATCCATAAGCCCGACTTATAATGTGGCCCCTATTTAAAAATGAGGTCGATAGTATTTCTTCCCAATGAGAAGCCAAATATGAAAAAGCGCTTTAACATTGCTAGAACATGGCGTCTTCAGAAATAAATATAATTTATCATATTACAGATCTACTTATGTTGTGAATGTTCTAGAATCGATTTATCTGAGGCTTCTCCCGTTGCCAAGCAACAAATTACGTCTCATTTTGCCTTCAGTAAAAACTTCGCTTGACTTTTTCGTTAAATGTTGTTCCTAATTGTGTTATATCTTATAAATACGAAAATTCATGCGAATTTGTTTGAATCAGCGTAATTATTTGTCGTAAATATTCTTCCAAAAAGTTGACTCGGCAAATTAAATACTTAATTGTTTTTTATGATGTAAAAATGATAGATCTAATGCAAAGTAAAGAAAATCATAACACTAGGTCTGTTTCTCCGAAATAGAGATTTTTATATATGCCATCACAAAACTCAATAATATAAACTCCGTGGTGCCATTTATAAGTTCAAAAATCGCGAATTCGAAATTTGTTTTCACATAACCGCAGTAAAATGCTCCTAAATCTTTTTATACCTCGTGAACCGTGAAGCGAACTAAGGAATAAGTTTCTGGTCCTACGGGGCGAATAAGTAACACACAACATATAAGTAAGGGCTTCGAAACGTCCGCTTAGTGGATTTATTTGGCCCAAATATTACGGCAAAAATGTAGGAAATTTACAACTACTTACCTCTTAACCGAAGCCGGCTTAGGTCATGTTTTCTTAAAAGGAATGCTTATTCTTGGTTTAATTGTAGCATACATTTCAAACCTATGCTTCATGGATAACATTTCTAAAGGCATTTCATAGAATAATGTGTCATGCTTTAAGTTGACATAGTTTATGTTATTTGAAACTTATATGGAAACTGGTTCATGTACCTGCGGGATTGATTCGTAAGCGCATTTGTTGTTACTGATATTTCCGTTTCATTAAGTAAAATGTCAAATCATTTCACTAACAGATAAAATATTGTTTGGCTATAAGGGCTTCGTAGCTTCGTAGCTTCGCAGCCTGAGGGAATTTGAAATGATAGTTTTAATACTTTTTACCAATCTTTGTTTATATACAGCACTTCATTTTAATCGTAGGCACAAAATTAGTTTCATAAAATATTGAATCACAGGTCGGGCTAATACTCCTGTTTGTCCCGTGTGTTTGCGTCCTCCGATCGGTTCCTACACTGTTTACATTTAATTTGTATTCCGATACCGCTTGCTTACATAGATTAGGTGTCACGTTGCATATTAAAAGTGAGTGTAACAGACTATCAGTGTTCCATTAAAGAACATTTCCTGTTTCGGTTATCACAGTAATCTGAAATTCGCACGCGTGACCGCAATTGGCCCGGTCATACGCTATAATGGTTCAGGCTGTTCCAACGGGGCTGAAATATCCATTTGAATGAATCGTGTTCATTAATTGAGACAAACATTAGTTATTCGCAGCCGCGAGCAATTCACAGATGAATATAATTGTCTTAATTACATAAATATTGATGAGCTCAATATGTAGAATTCGATTATCCTATAAACTTGAGCAGTTTGTTGTTTATTAACATTTTGTTTAATCAGTTTTGTCAGTTGTGGTTTATCGGCAATGGCTATCATTAATCACTCCATATCTTAAGCTTGTATCTTTAGAAAAATCGAATATTGGTGAACTTATTAATGACGTCAAATATGTAGCAGCTTGATATCACTTGTCAGGCTTCAAAGAAAACAGACGAGTTTTAAAATATATTCTAAAATCAATTCTTATATAACATAACGAATATAAAGCAAGCAAGTACCTTAAATAACATTTCATTTTCGTCATCCCTTCAAAACACACGAATATGTATTAAATAACTTTGGCAGATAAGCGTCGACCAAAATTTCCGAGAAGTGAATTAATAATCAGCCTCTCCTGGAATACTATTTATAGCGCGCGAGCCAGCACGCCCACGCACAACACTAAATGTTCATTGTCCCATTACCATATGTGCGCTAAAACAAAGATATTCTTTGTTAATTAATCACTCCATACAGTACTTGATGCATCTTTAAAGTGAGATGTTCAGACCAGACACAAGACATCCAAGGAATTCGAAAATTGCCTTCAGAACACTAGCATGTGGTTGGTGAGTTTACGACTCAGAGCGAGAATTACTCATGTTTTAAACTAGGACTTTGTTTGAAGTTCAGTGATCTTGGATTAAGCATTGAAAGAGCGAACATATTCCACCGTCAGGAAGTCTGAGGGTAATGAGGAGGGCTCATTAAAGCTGGCCATTGTTTCAAACGCCCTAAATCCTTGAGACCTCGTGCTGTACGAACGTTTTAATCAGCCTAATCCAGCAAAAGCGCAGCTGCATTTCCGCCCACGTTTAGAGGCAAAACAATGGAACCTTTTTAGAGAATGGCGAAATTCTGGGCGCCATATTGTTCGCTGCTATTGTATCAGCACCGTGTGCGCGCAGAAAAATATTCATCTCGGCCGCCTCGCTCGTGTTTACTCCGTTCCTACTGTAAATATTGACCTGTGTCACATGAATCTTTATTTAAAAGGTTCTTTAAGCAAGCATATTACATTTTAAAATTAATTTCGTATGTTTACATGAAAAAAAAAATATAATAATTGCCTTAACAAGTATTTGGAAAAAAGAATGAAGATCCAGTCGATTTCGACACATTTATGTTATAATAGACATCTGTTAGTGTGGTGCACTTTATCAAATTGAAATAACAATAACGCAGTTGTTATGTAAGCAGATAGAATTACATTTTATACAACATGTGACTTCAGGATTGGTCGTTGGTTTCATATTTTATGTCCCTCTTCCGTTAGATAGTCTTTTTACTTTTTCTCTTTCATTTTAACCGTGCTTTGGCCACGTTCCGTAATAGTTAGTCGCAAAGTAAATATATGTTCTAAGTTAACTGCTAAGATTGTCGAAGTTAAGTACGTTAATAAATAAATAGCTGACAAGTCAAGGTAGCTGTTTGTTTACTCTGATAAATGGATTGCGTTCAATGTTACAGATTCGCGTGAAAATAGTAATGAATGAACATTCTTTAAAGCTGATATTGTTTTTTGGAAATAAGAATTATATGTATAAAGGTTTTATTTTCGACCACAAGGTTTTAGTTTGATAAAGGATCCATTTGGTTCTTCCACTAATGGAGATCTCTTTCCCAATCACTTAGATGCATTTTGTATACGACTGAATTATTAACCATTCTGCAAAATCCATCTACTGCACTTGAAGTTTTATTACACGATAAATATTATAAACACACTTGAAAAACTAATACTAAATTTGAAACATTGTGATTGAATTGGTAGGTCTATCGGAAATAACATATAATCTAAATACATAAAAATCAATGCCACTTTTCGTTGTAATGTTATAACTCAACAATTCCTTTACCGATTTTGCTAATTTTGGACTTGAAATATTCGTGGAAGTCCAGAAAAGGTTTGTAAGAGAAAATTAAAAAAAATTGAAATAGTGTAAAATCGATATCCACTAGGGCGGTCCCGCTGGCAACCACTAGTATCGTATAAAAATCCGCATCGTATGTTGTCCGCAAGCTGTCAGTCGGACGTCAGAAGTAGGGCACTGGGAACGCGATGAGCTGGTGACTTGTCAGTCCATATCATAGCACTACTCTCTGGTTTTTAATTATACCTGTATGAGTTTATTTACAACATGACCTTGTTTCAATCGCTAGGTTATTTATATTCATTTGGTCTGTACTTTGCCTAGTTTACAGCTGCAATCAATGGTTAATCTTAATTCACAAGTCTGTATCGATCTTGATTTTGACACTATAGAAAACTTTTGTCAAAAATCACCAATCGGTTATTAAATTTGGTCATTAATGTTTTTCGTTTGAAATGTGTTCAGAAATTAGGAGTATAAAGTAATAAGCATATCCATCTGTTTTAATAATTCATCGAAGAATCCCTTTCTGAATAGTTCTGGTTAAGTAAGTTTTGGTTTAGTTACTAATCAGGTAATTAGGGCAACCCCAAAGTACTTTCTGTTAACTCTCATAAGAGGTACATGACATTTGTTCCGTGTGTCTGCAAAATCATATGTCCTTTAAGGGATTCAAGTGTCTTAAATATAAGAGAGAGGCGGCCCGCGTGAGGGAGCAATCCTCCTCCTCACGCCCCAGCAGCCGCAACTGGCGACACTACGGGCGTCGGGGATCAAGGGACGATCTCCGGCCACCGTAAGCACGGGCCTGCGGTCGGCGAGTAAGGGCAGCTCGCCGCCCGACCAGAACCAGGCCCGAGCGTACGGCGCGTAGCGTTCCGCGCGCGCCTCAAAGAGCCAATAGACCACCACAGACGGGGCCCTAAAGGGCTGATGTTCAGCCGGGGTTGCGGGGTAAGCGCAATGAGGCACCGCGACCTCGGCACAGAGCAGGGGAAGGAACAGGGGGGTTTTTAGTCAGTAAGAGTCTGACACTCCCTTCCGCCCGGCTCTGGGCGGGAGAAGTCATTTGATGATTTTCCCCTCACAAAAAAAGAGTCTTAAATATTACAAAAATAATAATTTTCTTTCGGGTTCTTAACCAAAGTCATCTTGTCTCCAGGTGTACGTGGCACTCTTCAAACCACTTCGTGTCTCCAGACGGCAGTTCCGTCGCGTGCTGATGTGCATGCGCAACGTGCGGCACTTAAAGTGCCACGAGTTGTACGCACACGAGAAGGTCACTAAAGTGGACAGCCTCTCCTTAGTGCTGTCTGGCAAGTAAGTGGTGGAAACTTTATCTTTTTAAGTGCATAAATTCCGATTTAATATTTCAATTTTAATAGAGGTAAGAAATAACAGAAAGTTAAAAGAACCGCTGATGTAACATGAAATCGAATATTACTATGCAATATCTATTGTCTTTCCAATAAAACAATAAAAGCAAAAAGAGGTGGCTCTCAAGACGTCGGAATATTGATTACATTATTTGATTGACGTTTTCGCATATAATTATTATTCGTGTACACAATTCGTCCAGAATTCCTTAAGACAAAACAGATCCTTCAAGCGTTTCAAACACTTGTCTACTAATTTCAACTTGAAGTCTTGAAACTGTGTTAACAAATGAGATAATATGTCATATTCATAGTATGCCATTAGTTAACGTCCGCCCGGCGTTGGAGACGTGGAGGCTGCTCGATCATTGTCCACGGGATCATCCTTCTCATCCATATTGTCAACTTTGGGTTTAATTACTCTTGCTTCTCCGATTATGTGATAATGTTCAACTTGATTATTGTTACGTATAGTGTTTAATTACTGTACTTTGTTTTGACTTTGACCCTGTTTTAAAGTTCTTGTTCTTGTTCGAAGATAGGACGGTCAATTGTATTATGGTGTCATGGTTGGAGATGAAAATTTATATTTAATGGCGTTGGAAAGATACAAATGTCCTGGCCGTAATTTTAGATTTCATTGAATTATCCTTCATATTTTTACTAAAAAACGCTCATATTTCCTATCTATTAAAGAAATAGAATCATCTATTAAAGAAAGAGAACATAAAGGAAACTCTAACGCCCAGAAACCAAATCATGCTTTCCAAGGTGTCGTGAGTTAGCCTCCCGAAAATGAAGGAATATGGTAAAATGATAAATGACTTTGTATTATGTTTGATATGAAACACATTTACGACGTGTTTACACATTATAATACGAGCAATACGTTACATGTGGCGCTGATCACTACTCTGCTATCACACTGATAAATAATACATCAAATATTGCCATTTAGTCTTCAAACATTTTTTTCCGTTGGTTTCAGCAATTTTTTGCCTACTTCCCTTGTCTCGTTCTAAGCCTCGTATATAATTTAGACCAACCTTTCTGGAGGCATTAATAATATTTAAAAATCATAATTTTTATTTACATCCTATGATATGTTAACCTATTCTAATCGTATTTGTCTAATCATCTCTATTCGCCATTATTTGTCAAACACTTCAATTATCAAGTTTGAAATTAAATATATCACTGATTATTGCATTTGTGTCCCAATTCCTAAAAAAACAGCAATTCTACTACAAATGTTTGATTATATAATTAGTACGTCTGTTTAGAATATCTGTGGTTATATACCGAAAAGATAGCACTCGTTAAATACGTGCCATTGTGACGCACGCAATCACGCTTAAAGAGAATTTTGAAGTTCTGACAGTTGACAGGACTTGGGAATACTCCATAAAGGACTTGATTTGATGGCTGACATGAAAACCCGTCACTAAGGACAAAAACCATGTACTGAATTTCGATGTTATTATATTGAAGGTGAACTTTTCATAAGTTTCGTTTGCATTTGAATTTAAGTGCTGGAATACGTTTTCATGTAGCAACCATTATTTCATCAGCATCGGTAATAAAACAAAGCAATAAATTCTCAAAACTCCGTAAAGCAAAATATTACATATTACATCTTTAAAAAAATACTCGGAATCCTTCAGTAAACATTTGACCCATGGTTAAGCGACACATTTCGCTTGTAACTGTGTATTAAAATAACAAAAGTAATACGAACACTAATTCAATAACTTTCTTGTTTTTGACAGATCCCAAAAATACCGGGAATTTGTCTGCACCTAATATGTGACTCACCTCTTCTTGGAGACGTCTGTAGTCTGCATTATTATAACAAAGCGGTCTTAGTTTTAATTCTAGGTTTTGATGAAGCATGTGGTAGTCTATGTATAGGTTGTGAAAATTATCGGTAAAACAATTAAACAGGCTTCTTTAAAAATATATAGTTTCAGTTAAAACGTTATGCTAAAACTAGAAGTTTAACATGAAGACAGTTAATACACAAGATATCTATGTAATATACTCTCACAGTCGTAAGCATAACATAGCAAGCTGTGTGAACTTTCATGTATTGTTTAATGTTACAAAGCGTCCGATTACCGGTTAACAAGATCCACTTCATTATATAATTAATGAGATTGTAGTATGTAATTATATTCCGTTTAATTAGATTCCTGGTGCAGTAATACTGTTTTTGTTCGTAACGACATGGTCCTTTGGGAAATTTAAACAATACTTATTCTCTATGTTAAACGATTTGGATTTGACAATATTTTTAAATAAAGCGATGGAAAACCATAGTCTGACTGATACGATTAGGTTAGGTTAGATCAGATCATAAGTTACTTCATATGCAAGCAGTTTGGAAAGCCAAATCTGACTGAGGTTAGGATAGGTCTGTAAGTGACCGTCGTCGTCAATCCTCAAATCAGTTTTATTGTTGTTATGTTTAAAACCTACTCTAAAAACACGAAAGTAAAAAGTAATTAATATATTCGCAACGGTTGTGATGTATGTCGGTCAATGTCGACAACTTCTTTATTATGTAACGGTTCAATGTCGATCCGAGAAGCGAAACTGATTTTTTTGTCAACTGATCGAAGAGGATTGGTGGATTGTCATGCTATTTCATTCATGATTGTGTAATGTTCACATTGAAAAAAAGATTTAATGAGATAGTCGTATTAATTATTGTTTTTGTATTAGTATTTACTGGTCTAGCCAGATTTCTACCGTAAGCATCTTGTAAATCACGATAATGTATTGACTTAAACAAGTCTTCTTCACAATCGACAATTTGATAAACAAACCAAGGTATCACCAAAAATACATCATTTTTAGACATTTATATTGGTGTTGCTTGGAGAGTGTATTTATTACATTAATTCCAAGAGAGGCCTAACACTAATTTCAAACAATTGAAATCTTGTAGAAACTCAATCTGAATTCACAACTAAACCACTTTTCTGAAAGTTTGTCGATTGCCAATTTCTCTTACCACTTCAAAACTATTGTTGATAGTAATAATATAAGACTCAACAGTTACACCAAGTTTAGATTGCATTGCGGACTTAGTACTTAGGTCTTAGGTCACTTGGCTAGACTTACAACTATCTAACTAGGTACTGTGAAGTTTAACTTGAGTAGCACTACAATAATATTGGTTTCAACTTTAGGCCAACCTTATCCGCTGTGTCTGTTGTTTTGTAAAGAGTTGGCAGGTGTGACTTGATGTCTGATGGCTCTAGGTAGGGTTGCCCCCAGGGTCGATCATGGGACCATTCCAATATTCTTCTTTCATGATGAAACTTTGAACTGTTTAAACAATAGATTTCGAGTACATAGAATAAATATATCCTAAAGAGCAATAAAATAAGTTTTCTTTATCCTAAAACTTCAATAAACACCGAATACAAATCATACCTACAACTATAATTTAGTTAGATCTTAGGTCTTAACCACAATTGGTAAATAACTCAATATATTACAAAGCAATAACCACGCCGCCTACATCATTCCTCACCCAACGTTTTCACTCCAATGATTAATAATAACCAGAGCAAATCTATTTTCACTTGAATAGCTTTGGACAATCCTCATCGAGAATTGGTCCTTGGTATATATAGTAAGGAGTAAGGATCAATATGTGATGTATTGTGTTTGGGTAGCGAATGTTTATTCCTTCTCTTTCACTGTGTAATGTCGAGTTTTCGCTAGCGATGTAACTCATCAAAAAGTGATAATTGTTCAAGAGTATCCTATTAATGATGATGACGCTAGCCATTAATTTGATGCCTGATTCTTAAATCGAACCATTGTGTCAGCCATCCGTCTCTTTCTTCTATACATAGGCATCTCACAATTATTCCTAGATTATAATTAGGACGATACCTAAGTTTCACTTACGGCAAATATTTACAAATATTAATTGTTCAGTACCAGGGGAAAGTAAAGAGAATAAATACTTAAGCTTATGTGATTTTTACTTTTTGTAGACGTGTTTTATACAGTTGACAAGTTTAACATAACATTAACTATCACTTTTATGCCAGTACGTATCAAGGCTCTTGCGATGTCATTGACGTACTGACAGAATAATAAGTTGTTTTTATCTGAATATTTGTTTTATTTAAAAACTGGTTTCGTATCTGTCAATAAGTTCCTTTTATATTTTGGTCTTTAGTTATGTAAGTAACTTTCTGTGTGTAATTCAATTATGTCATTCCTGTTTACTATTACGGTGTGTTTTTTTAAAGGGGAAAAATAATGCTTTTTCCGCCTCCCTTTGTTGAGCGAAAAGGAGTGTCAGAGTCTTACTCTCAAGCCGAAGCAGCGGTACTTTATTGCGCTTGCCCCGCAACCCCGGCTGTTCTAATATAATGTTGGACCACGAATTTAGTTTAATTTATAACGTTCTACAAACATACCCATTTTTTGTCACGGAAAAAATATCAAATGACTTCTCCCGCCCAGGGTAAGGCAAAAGAGTGTCTGACTCTTACTGATTAAAAAACCCCCGTTCCTTCTCCTGCTTTAGGCTGTAGCTGCGGTGCCTCATTGCGCTTTTCCCGCAACCCCGGCTGAACATCAGCCCTATAGGGCCCCGTCTGTGGTGGTCCATTGGCTCTTTGAGATGCGCGGGAATCAACCACATACCACTGTGAAATAAAAATAAACTTTTAGGCAAATTTTAATGATAGCAATTTAAAACGACCAAAAAAGGAAACAAACTCCTTATTGCTTTTATATTTCAACAACAATACATTCTTAAGTAATAAATTCCAATAAAAATCAAATTACGTCAGGTTAAAACATTGATACAGTTATTTAATTACAGTTTTTATTGTAAAATAAAACCGTTTAAAAATATGACGTTCTCCTTGACTTGTCCGCTTGTTTTTGTGAATGAACCGCCCAATGAAAGGGAAATTATCGACATACGGACGGTATACAGTGTCGCAGGCGCATTGCGCAACTAGCTTGCACAAACTGGCGACCTCTTTACGAATTTTGCTCGTATTATGAACATGCACACTATAGTATGTAGGGGGAATTAGTACCGTTTTACTTTACCTAACTTTAGTCTTTGCGGATATTTTGTGTTCAATCCTATACTGTGTTTGACAGTATTGGCATTTACATTAATTTGGGCTGAAGAAATTCAGTTTGTTCGTTGCACGTGTACATCAAATTTGACCAAACCTACGTAGGGTGACAGCCTTGACGGTTGATACCAGTTTGGTTATGGATAGCCTAGTAGCCACTCGCTCCTTTTTCGTTTTTGAGGTCGCTCGGTCATGTTTTCGTTTTACCGAATGTAGGCTTTACATGTTACGTAATAAAGATTAATATGATTTGCATCATTAAGCAGATGGCTGAACAATACTGTAAGCTGTAAATTTCTTTTTGTTTGTGTGTGTGACTCATGGTGTTTGGAAAAAATCTTCCTAGATGACTCGTCTGGTAGACAGATGCGATTAGATTCGTCATCTCTAGCTTTGTGTGTGTTATTTTAATCTTCATATACAATATGGGAGACTTAATGCCAACGACATTTTCCAGTCATTACCGACTTCAAAAAAATAAGGAGGTACTGTGTTCGGCTGATTGTTTTTTTTTCTTTAGGTCGTGCAGCGATTTATGTGGTAGGTGTATGTGGTGGTACAGGAAATAGAGGTTTACATCAATAATAATTATACAAAGTACTTTATATCATATATAACATTAATATAGGTCATCCAAAAATTATGTAAAGTGAAAAATATAATGGAAATGGGGAAACTGCCATCTTCCTGGTAAGTTGTTTACGTAACTTACAGGTTCTGTATCGGTTGTGCTATAAATAAATGTTCTTTGACCTTATTTATAATTAACAGAACTTAAAAGTCTAATAACATAGCTTTTCCTATTTTTTTTGTACAAATGTTGGCAGGTTTATTTTGACTATCTTGTTATAATTACTATTCTTTGAGCCTAATAAACAGTGAAGGTAGCCTCTCTTAGTTAAGTTCTTGTTAAAGTAATTGCCTGAGCAGGCCTTCTAGCCACAAATTAGCACCACGATTATGATACCATTAAAATGACTCGATGGAAAAAGTGATATTCTCTTGTGCTCGGCTAGTGTCTTGTGAGTGTCTTCTTATCTTAGTTTCAAACTATAGAAAGTTGTGGAAATTTTGTTAACTTATAGTCTATCAATTTACTATCTCGCTTATACTAAGCTGTAGCTAAGAGAATGAATAACTTGCCGTTCAACGTTACAAGAATTTATTTCAACGAAAATATTATCATCTGGACCACTATCCATGTAACAAAGTACAACAGTAAAAAACAAGTGAAGAAAATGATTATGGTTGGACACACCGCCTTTTAGTTAGGCCAGACATAAAGTTTAACAACTTGTCCCGCGTTAGCGACGTAGCTATAAAACGATACAGTACAGCTACAGACTCAGACGTAGTAATTGCTGCGCTTTAAGCTTTATTTACGAGTACCTATAGTGTCGCTAGATGTACAGCACTTTGTGAGAGTACTGCTGGAAATATTACAGTGTATGAAGACCCAACTTGCAATAATGATGCAAATGTTTCCAACGTAGATACCGATGTAGCTTCTAAATCAGTTGATTTAAATGCATTGCACGGTAAAGACTAGGAATATAAGATTAATGTCGTGACACTAAGCGTAGATATTCTAGTGAACGAACGTAATGGATTGCCTTTTTTGAGCTATCTATCTGCAAGAAATAAAGTCCCGTAGTTTAACAGCCTGTTTCTGAACAGTTGTGAACACAGCCGGCTCGCGGAACACTATCGATGCGACCCTCAATAACTTTGAACGAGGCCCTCTTTCCAGCCACTTAGCCAGTCCCACATTGCGCTACTTTGCGGTACTTACACACTCTAATACGGACCTATTTGTTCCGACCTTTTACGGGAACAGTTGTCTTTGTGTTTATGAAGCCATTCGCAGGATATGAACGATTTTATATCGCTCTAAGTGTTTGTTCAACAAACACTTTTGTAATAGTTCATCCCATCCGCCCATGCAGTTTGATGACCTGACGTGGGTGGCGCGATTTAACGACGTTGGAAATTAGTAGCTTTATTTATTTCTATTATGTAACTACTAATTTCCATTTTTAGATGCGTTTCTTAACAAGGTTTCTCGGAAATGCAATAATTTATTATTGAGATAACGAATTCACAATTGAAATGTTCGGAAAATTCACAACTTCCTTTAAAGGTTTGTGGAAAGCAAACATTTTGGGAGAGCTTTATTGTCGCGAAACTCTATTACGGAGGCGACCTTTGCGACACCGAGCTTTGGAAGCATGACGGCACAGGGTTAGCTACTACAATATCTTTACAAATTGCATAGTTATCATTTTTTGTTCAAACCGGTTTCAATCATGTTTTCGAAACTCTGCAATTAACAGTGAAAGTTTTATATTTGACATACTGATTGGCTTTTTAAAAAGAATAATTGTAGTCTGCAAAATGCTATGCTACTTTCAAGTTAAAACCTCGGCAGACCTGCATGTAAGTTGGAATTGACCCAAGAGGGAACTTGATGTAGGTCAAAAAAAAAATCCTTAAAGCCATTAAAATGAGGTTTTGGACTTTTCTGTCAACTTAATCCTGATTATCCTTCATTTTTAATGAAAGAGCCTGACTGACGACCTCAACAATAAACCCTCTGCTACAAATATTAGCGAACAAATTTAATAATTTCGGCTGTAATCCGCGAACGACCGCAGCACAGGTAATGAACACATAGTATTGTGTGTTATACGACCGTAGAGACGTTTGGCACCGTGGCCGCACGTTTTAATTAGTGCTGTTCCTATAGTGCCCTGCTTATTAAACTGCCATTATTTAAACTTAAACTCATTAAAAGTTCGTTTTGGTACTTGCTCATATTTCCCACTGGTTCGAAAATGTCCATTCCTGTTCGTATCTTGACCAAACCTAGCTATGTATGTATTTGTATATGATCATAAGTAATTATTAATCTCACTACTCAGGATATATTAGTAAAATACTCATAAGATTATGAATAGTTTAATTTGTAGAATATCCTCCAGCATCCTATGGCACCAAACATGATTGATAATAATGTTGGTGTCAACTCACCCATCAACAGAATAAGCAGGCAATTCAACCAAATCGCAAGTAGTATACCAGAGATCGATATATTCCACGACACCATCAATGTATTTAGATCTAAAATATTGGAGTCCATTGAACAATAATCTGAATCGTTATATACTTATCCTTTCTAATGTATTCTAAGTAAATATGTAATTTATCCAACTTTGTCCTTTGTTAATCTGACTAGTTTTAATTATAATCTATCATATTTTTGTGTAAACTCGTAATTTTAAGAATGTTTGTTATCTCGACACTGGCTAATGTGTAAGACTTAATTTGTCAATTTGATTTGATTAGTTTTAGTTATAATTCTACAATATTATTTTTTCTGTTTTTTTGTGTAAACGCTTAATTTTAAGAATGTTGGTTAGCTCGTAATTGGCTAATGTATAAGATCTACTACCTATTATCTAATACATTTAAGAACTTTGTATACATAAGCTGTGAGCCTACCTTTTTTTCAATAAATAAATAAATAAATAAATAATACGGTAGTTTCCAACTAGTCAAATTCAATACTTTAATCCAAACGTCAAAAACGATACTTTTCTATGAAATTTGTATAAAAAACTAAGCTATGTCATAACTTTTTTGCGTCAAATAGCTTACATATTACTTAATAATCAGCTGAAAAAAAATCAAAAAATTAGTGTATCGATCGATCGATGAATAAAAGTATAGTTATTTTTCAATATTTTATTATATTGAAACGTCGAAATAATTTATTTTTGACCTAGGAAACTACCCAATTAACAAACTCACCGAGTCGATAAAAATCGGTTCCAATTCTGAAGTGTCTTTAGAAGTTGTCGCTTGGTTGTATGTAGAGCGTAATGTATTGGTAGTTCCATTACCAATTCGAACATGATTTTGGATTCTTTGTGATAAATTTTTATTTGAAGTTCTAACAAATCTCCCTTGTAACAAATTTTGGGTTTATCTCTCTGAATATCCTCAAGGAGAATATATTATGTGATTTGTCTCTTTCCACCTAATGCGGTGTAGGTTTACTTACCAAACATACAACATGTGTGTTGTTCTACCGCAGAACTTTATCATGGAGATTTTTAATTAGACCACTGCTCATTTAATTCTGTTGTATATGGTTAATAAACAACGTTTATATCTTCTTTATCCTTTCAATGTTACTTGGATATGTCATTACAATTTGAACATTATTTTGGAATGAAATAAGTTTGAGAATTCTCTGAAGACTTGTTTACACGTAAAAAGACCGGTAGAGGGTTTTTATGTGCATTAAGTTGACGCTAATCAATCACCGCATTTACAACCCCTATGAGGCTTTAGACACCTTTCAAACGAACAAATGGCTTTCCTATCTCTAATAGGGACAAGACGGAGATAATTTATAGAGAGAAGAGTGATAATTAGTTAAATTGTCACTCTTTGGTCTATTGGAAACAAAACAAAGTTTTGCCATCCATAAAAGATTGGGATTCAAGGCCACTAAAAATACGAGCATATTACATTAGACTAGACGTTGACGAGTGGCTTCACTGAATTATAGAACATTATTGTATATGGAAAGGGCTGTTTAACCCTTTGATTCAAATAGTCTTACAATAAGCTTTGTTTTATTGTTGTCATTGTAATGTTTCAGACTTGTGGTGTCTCAGAATCAGCGGGCGCTGCATATAGTGTTTCCTCATCACTTCCTCGATTCGCCAGAGTGGTTTGGCGTGTCCACAGATGAGTTTTTTCAGGTAAGTCACAAAAAAATTAATAGCATGTTTTTTCGATCTACATACGTGTCTTTAACACAGAAAACGTTAATATGACTCCTTTATTATATGGCTTCTAACTCATTCCTATCTCTCCCCCAATCCCTAAATCTCCCAAACCTTTATCCCCAAAAGGTCGGCAACGCACTAGTAACTCCTCCGTTGTTGCGGACGCCCATGGGCTGAGCTGTTTGCTCATTTGCTATCCTATTCTGCTATTGCAGCCTAGCTGCTGCCATATTCCCAAAACAAAACACAAAATATGTAAAATGTTGTCCTTATGGCATCTCGTCTCAAAAGACCAATTTGTTAGCGACTCTGTAACAATAGAAATGTAGGACCACATTTTACGAGTATGTGTTTTTTATTTGTTAAATCGTCTCGGTTATTTGAGTATGGGCAGTTAACGGTGCTAATTAACGTGTAAACTGATCTCGTAATGCTAACAGACCGTGTACAACCGTACCGGGAGGGGACTAATCAAAGTGTAAATCGAGTAACCTCCTTTACGGTGCAAGGGCTTGTTAGGGGGCCTTTTAAGAAAATATGACCGAATAAATAGCTCATGTGCTTTCACGTTTTTATGTTACTTGTACTCTAGAAACATTAAAGTAGATAATTTCAGGTGCTACATTGTTTTTTTTTTTTGATGGGAGACAGTCATCAAATGTCTTTTCTCGCCCTGATATGGGAGTGTCAAACTCTTACTGACTAAAACAACCCAGTTCCTTCTCCTGGTCCAGGCCGAGGTCACGGTATGTTACTGCGCTTGCAATCGCAACCCCGGCACGCTACAAAATTTGTATTTGTACTCAGTTTCGCAGAGCTTTTATCTAGTACTGCAGACCGTACCTAGTCTTAGGATTTTCCACTAGCACTTTATCCGATCATTGAATCTAAACTTGGACCGCGTGTTCATATAGAAAGGACCACAGAAATAATTCTAGTGTTTTTTTATCTTACGCTGCCTTGGGATTAGGGTTGGCGACGACACAGATTTTATCCACTTTGAGATTTATGTCAGGTTTTTACGTCGGCTAAATGTCGACTCACTATTTTAGATCTTTCGAGCTAGTCTTAGCAAATAAATGACAGATTTTTTTTTTTTTTTTTGTGAGGGGAAAGTCATCAAATGACTTCTCCCGCCCAGGGCCGGGCAGGAGGGAGTGTCAGACTCTTACTGACTAAAAACCCCCCTGTTCCTTCTCCTGCTCTGTGCCGAGGTCGCGGTACCTTATTGCGCTTACCCCGCAGCCCCGGCTGAACATCAGCCCTTTAGGGCCCCGTCTGTGGTGGTCTATTGGCTCTTTGAGGCGCGCGCGGAACGCTACGCGCCGTACGCTCGGGCCTGGTTCTGGTCGGGCGGCGAGCTGCCCTTACTCGCCGACCGCAGGCCCGTACTTACGGTGGCCGGAGATCGTCCCTCGATCCCCGACGCCCGTAGTGTCGCCAGTTACGGCTGCTGGGGCGTGAGGAGGAGGATTGCTCACCTCACGCGGGCCGCCTCTCTCTTTGCGAGCATGACTGCTTCACAAAAGGAGGAGACGGCGTCCCAGTTCCTCTCACTCCGCACCATGGCCTCGACTAAGGCCGGGCGCGAGAGGTCGCCGCCGCCGATCACTTCCCTGAGGATACGGCGGTGCTCAGCCCAGGCAGGGCATACCGCTACCGTATGCTCCACCGTATCCTCTAGGTGGTCCTCACAATGACGACACTCGGGCGTTTCCTCCCGCTGAATCCGAAACAGGAACCTACCGAAGCTGCCGTGCCCGGTAAGCATCTGCGTCAGACGGAAGGTGAGGACGCCGTGGCGTCTCTCAAGCCACTCCTCAAAGAGGGGTCTTACCGCTGCTATGGTAGCGTGCCCGGCCCTCGGTTGCGACAGTCGTTGTCTCCACTCTGCCATGAGATCTCGCCGGAGCTCATTCCGCCACGCACTTATTTGGCGCGGCAGAGGATCTTCGCCCCGGCGACGCGCGTCTGCGCGCAAACTGTAGACGCGCGCGAGCGCCTTCGCTTCTAGATCCCACGGCGGTGATCCGGCAAGGAGGTTCGCCGCCTCCCCGGAGATCGTGCGATACCCGCGGATTACTCGTATAGCCATGACCCTCTGGGACGCGACCAGCGTACGAGCCGGCCGCCGCTTCAAGTCCGGCGCCCACACAGGGGCACCGTAGAGGGCCATGGATCGCACAATCCCCATATACAACCTCCGGCAGGAGGCGTTTGGCCCCCCGAGGTTGGGAAGGAGCCGCTTGAGCGCGGCCCCAGACCGTTCCAACTTAGGGGCCAAACGACGAAAATGAAATAAATGACAGTTAGGGTATTTAACTTGTACATTATACATAGACACTTGAATATTTGAATTGTGGGAGAGCCATGCTTCGTCACGAATGGGCCGGCTCGACCGGAGTGATACCACGGCGTCACTGAAAAATGCCGTAAAACAACAGCTTTATCTTTTGCTGTGTGAGTGAGGTTACCAGAGGCTCAATCCTTACCCTACCCCCATTCCTTTTCAGGTCCCCAAAATCCCTTATCCCCATAATGCTGACAACGTTCTTGCAACGCCTCTGTTCCTGCTGGTGTCCAAAGTCCATGGACGGCGCCGATTGCTTACCGGGTTATCCGCCTGCTCCATTGCCAGGCAGCGTACAAAGTAAAAAAAAAGATTTTTTCTTATAGTGTAAACTTTATCAGAATCAACGTAACTATGACCATTTCTCCTACTTTTAAATTAGTAAAGTGCTTATCTACACTGAAATAGGTTTTAAGGCTTCCTGTGCTAAATAGTACAGAGCAAAGCGTTGCCAAAAGTTTGCCTTATCTTTTAGACTATGTGATGTGCTGGTATTAAGCAGACATATCCCCCTATTATCCATTTTGGGTGTTTTGCATATACTTGTACCTATTATGGCTTAGTCCTTGTTGCATATTGCAGTCATGTTCGGTTTCCCCAGTCCCTAATCTCATTCGCTTGACGGTCGAGTCTTCGTGAAACTTTTTGCCTATACCGTTCGTACATCTGTGTCGTTTTTCACAAGCCTCCCACATGTCCTCATATTCATCTTCGGTATGTTTATTGTCACCAATGAGGTCAGTCTGTATTCTGACTATATTTAGATCTTGAATAAGAAAGCCCTAGTTCATTCTATGACGGCATTCAGTCTAAATATGGCTCAGGATAATTAAATAGGTCGCGAAGTCGGGCGCAAAATGTCTAAGCTAGCTAGGTTAAAGTGTATCTAACTATAGCCAAGCTGATGTAAACGAGTTAACATTGTATTTTGTACTAATATTGTAAATGCGAAATTTACGAATTTTTTATAGGTTTGTGTTTGTTACACGATCACGCCAAAACTGCTATACGTGCGGATCTCTATGAAATTTGGCACAGGCACATTTAGGATACTCTCCGAAATAGGACATAGGCTACTTCTTATCCCGGAAAGGGCTACCCTTATACCAAGCGCGCTAAACTACGGGGAAAAGCTAGTTCAACATATGTTAATGTCGTTTCGTATAAACACTTTTAAATTAATTTACTTAACAGTTGGCACGTGTAAAATTACTTAATAGTATGCCAATCGCATTACGTCGAATGCACACAAATTAATATTCTCATACCATTGCTATAACATTCAAAATTGAATAAAATTTTCAACTGCCAGGCTTCAACAGCAGCTTTTAGCTTGATAAATATTATCTGTTAAGCAAAAACTCGACAATACTTTTTACATTAACTCCCTTATCTAGAGGAAATAACATACTTTACGTCCTACGGAAGCGGCCTATTTCCATCCAATACGAGTTTATGAAATGTAGTATATCTAAGTATATTGTATGAAAATGTATGCTTTCGTGTTGTAATCACGCCTAAGCTTAGGTGGGTGTCTGTTGCGACCTTTCTGCTCATAGTAGGGGACGTTACAGAAGGTTTATTTTGTTGTCACGTAAAGTTCTCGCCTAGTGATTACAAAACTCTGTTGCTTATAAAATATGTCGACTGTAAAACTCCCAATAACACAGTCATCAAATATCCAACAAAGCGTAACCTTCTCAAAATGTTTCTTTTATTGGCTTCCCAAGCATACGTTTATGCGTTATTGTACGATCCAGTCATGATTTCACTCTCATTCAGCCTGCCATTACCATAATATACGTGGGTTTTGCTCTATTGGGCGCACAGAGTAAAAGTGACGTTTCGTAAATTATACACATTTCGTATTATTATGTATCAGGAAGTTTATCATTAATTAAAGCTTTTATCTTTTTGGTTCTTTGGTGAAAATGTAACCACTGTGTAATGTAAGAAATGATGTCCCAAGAATTTCTGTATTTGCGTTAACTTTGAACGTCAAATGTGTATTAAAACTTGATTTATAGGCTAAAAGTGATGTTTGCGAGCCTGGGGGGTTGTATACAGTTTGCAAACTACAATATTTAGGCTCATACATGCCTAGCAATGCCTCAGGCAACCCGTGTTATTATCTAACTTTTAGTTAGGTAAATAGACTTTGAATATCCGAACGTCTTTATCAATGAGAAAATGGGTTGTTGTCTCAATAAATGTCAGGTAAAAATCTACAAGGTAGAAGATAAAAGCTTGGAAATTTAACACGAAGCACTGATTACCTAACGACGCAATATCACTTTGGTAAATCACGACATTTTCTGTTGAAATACGTTTTTCGACGGCGTATCTTCGCTTGTAATGGGAGTAAAAATTCAATTCTGGCCCGTTTTGTTCGTAACATAGCCTAGTTTAAACGATCTGTACATTTTGCCCGCTCAAGTGCTGTTTTCGAGCGACGTTACCGCTTTTCGGATCCACTTACCATCTGACACGCCACCCTGCTGGTACAAGTACATGCGCTATACGATTTGGCTTGTATTTTGTATTTTATTTTATCTGTATGGCATTGGAGTACGTGTTAAGAATTTTTATACAAACGGATATGAAAATTTTGCTTACAAAAAATCCTTTAAACTTTATATTGCAGAAATGATAATAGTTACGCAATTACTCCGTGTTTTGTTTACTGACCCAGTCAATTCAGTACCGCCTTAAATTAAACCAATGTTTTCTGCAGAAAGTCATTCCCTGGACCAGCCGTTCCCGAGTTTTAGTGAGACTAACGAACCTCAATTCATTTTTTTATATAAGAAGAGCTCATTTTTTGCTCTTGTAAGCTTTGTAATAGCATATCATAAAAATGCAAATATTTGTCTTCTTTTTTTATGTTATAGGACGGCAAAACGAGCAGACGGATTGCCTGATGGTAAGCAATCAGCGTCGCCCATGTACACCTGCAACCACGGATGAATTACGAGTGCACGTCGACCTTAGGATTAGGGATTTGGAGATTGTGGAATTGGGGACACTGACACTGTGAAACATAACGCTGTGGTTGTTTCACGCCGGTTTCCGAAACTCCATTCTCATCCAACTAGGTCTTTATTCGACAGCAGCGCCACTAAAATACCTTTAAACATAAAAAGTATACAAGATCTTCATCGTTAATGTTATAGGTATCAATAATGGCCATGGAAGAGTCCCGTGTGCTGGTGTGGCACCGCGACAAGCTGAAGCTCTCCATCATGTCGGACGCCTTCCTGCAAGCAGTCTTCGATCACATACTGGGTCGAGACGTTGTTCACAAACTCATGCAGGTAATGTGTAATCTATTTTTAAAACTTGGTAATATGTTTTCAATACAACATGTAAACATTCGAATATAAACCAGTTAATATTAATATTATGAATGATGAATATTGTATTTCGGTTTTCATTTCGATCGGGTTGTATTCGTCATCACACATTGTGATTGTAATTTCCTTTTTTTCTTTGTATTTTAAGAGTTTCAATCTATAAGTTCCGTAATAGCAAGCTTTATGCCTTTAGCACTTTCAACTTAATTGTAGAACAAAATATTCAAATTAAGTTTTCAGTTCTAAAATGTGGGCTATTTTACATTTTTATACTAGGATCAAAAGTCTGATTCTACTGATAGGCAGTTTTGGATGGTACTCGTTACTTATTTGCATTGTAAATCGAGTTCTCACATCGGAAGGCTTATCTGATCCTTTTATCCTTTTTAAGCATTTACTTATTTATGTCAGATTGGAAATTAATCTTGCAACACCAAAAATCCGTTCAACATTTAAAATGGAGAAATGTGGACTGGACAAATTGAACAAAATTAAAGTAGGTAACACCAGTAAATCAATTTAGTGATAAAACCATCGTAAAATCCCAAGTATATGGCTCGTACTCATCGTAAATAATAGTGGTAGTGTATTGTTACAAATTCACAGCAGACCACTACGTTGAAATTATTTATTCATAGTACTCGACTGAATTTCGTGAAAATTCTGTTGACCCACATTTGGCCCTAGAACGGCTGCATTATGTTCTAAACAAGCGATCGGGTATCAGTTCGTGTTATTTTGATTTCTCGTGGGATTTCGCTTTTGTGTTTTGTGCAAAATTTCAAGACTACTGAACTTGTTTAGACGCTAAACTGTTTGCAGGTTTTTCTGTAGTACGTGCCTAGATTACAGAAATGAGTTTCAGTTGAAACGATACTTTAAGAACATCTGGCTGGAGTCACGAGCCTAATAGAATCAATGTGATTTAGGCTTTGCGTTCCCTTTTTTCAACCTAATTTGAATTTCTAGGTTTCGTGGATCTTTTTGCGCCAAATAAATAATAAATAACGCTAAATTGTTTGGTTTATTTGATACACACCCCGATTACAACACGCGTTCCTACTAGCGTCTTTGCTCGCGGCACCAGGGTAAAAAGAAGTCAACGTGTTAATAACTTTAAAACTTTCTCGTTCCATGCTTACAACATATAATTACGAGGGTATTAACAAAAGATAATTATTTAAATACCTTGGTAGGCTTGCCGTTCCGACCTGGTTGCACAGGTCGTCGCAAGCAGATAGCTTGCGACCAAAAATTTAATACCCGCGGAATTATATGTAGGTAGTCAACGTATTATTCCAGGGGCCCGAGTCTACTATTTTCAAAGTGTTGTCATTCCTACACGATTCCATTGTAATTTTGCTAAAAGTTCGTAATCTGTTAATTCAAAATGGCTGATTATTGGCGTTCGGTGATGTCGTAATATAATTATAGTACGAGATGTCTTGTAACGAATTATAAACAATAACTGCACATTAATATTTTAAACGTAAATCACTGAATAAAGGAACTGACATTTTTTTATTAATTTACCGCATTATGTCAAATATTCATTTGCCATTATGTACGAGATTACCGTTCTAAGAGTTATTTCAATAGTGTATGTCGCTCTTTCATACAACTACAATGAAAACTCTTTATGTGCTAATTTACCAATCAAACATTTTCAAAATACATATTCACCATATTACCATCAATCTTCAGGTGAGCGAAACTATGGCGGTTTCGAATGGTCACCTGCCGAACAGTTATGAGGAGGGTGAGGACAAACCAATGTTAGTTGTGAAGAAGGCGGGCGATGGACCTGGCATCACCGCCTTGCTGAACCGCCAGTTACAAGGTATGGACGCTTGACGTACTCCTGGTCACTTGACGAAGGAGGTTGAAGCATTTGTTTTGATATAGAAACCTAGCTAACTTCAGAGTGTAGTTTTTAAGATCTTTTGAAAATGGAACGGTGTTAATGCGGTAGGAAGGGTTTTGAATTTGTTATTTCGATTTATGTTATTCTTCGTTATTACAAAATAAGATTTCTTTTAGTCAAGGTTTAAACCAGTGAATCAGGTTTTGTATTTTGAATCTTATTTTCACCGACCTTCAATTCGAAAGACGTAAACTGGCTCAATGGTTTAAGTCTAAACTGAAAAGAAGCCTTGTTTTTTAATAAGGTCGAATATAATATCTAATTTATAGGTCATGAAAATGATTTAATTAGTACCTACATAAATATGTACGAAAATAGACTTAAGTACAAAAACAAATGCTCCAACGTTTCATTCATAAATGCATGATAATGTTAGCTAGTGTAGGACTATCTGAGGTAGTAATGTCATTTTAAATTTATGAAGTCGTTACACATTGTCATTTCTAAATAAAAGGCATAAAAAATAAACTTAAAAAGATATGGAACACCTGTTATGAAGAAAAAATAAATAAAACTGAAAGATGAAAAAAGACTAAAAAAAGAACTCAAGAAACTGAATGCCAAACTCAAGACAATTTCAAATTAGTTCAAAGCAAATGGCCTTTGAATACTTATAACTAAAAACACCAAAACATCATCACATGGATGAATAGTCAGGTGATATTGTTCCAAAGTCACGAGGGAACCATGATAATTAAAAAAAAAACAAAACAAACTATACTTCTTTACAAATGTAAATTATTATTATTAACACGATAGTGTGTAACGATTTCTGTCTTTCTGAAGCTCCTTTTTACTGGTCGTTTGTGTTTTATTTATTTATTTAATATTTACACTAAAGTATGACCGCTTTTGTAAAATGACAGATTGAATTTTTACGCCGCCATGTTTTTGACTTTGACAGCTACTTAGTTTTGGCGCCAATCTGTTTCTTTTTACATTGCAACAGCTGACATGCTTTAATATTTATTGAATTTGATGTTAGCTAATTAAATAGGCGTACGTGGAGTCCCTTTTATAGTTGATCGTATTGCTAGTAAAATATTTTATAGAAATCATACTTCACGAACCATATTCTTTTTTAATTTGCACATATTTTTTAGTAATTAAATATTATGAACACGCGATGCGTTTTCGTGATGGTAATGTCAAAAATAAGTTACAAAACTATTTAAATTGAAAATAAGTCATATAAATAAAAGTTTATGCCTATAAGTACAGCAGCGCACTTGTCAAGTTAAAAATTTTTCTTTGATAGTTAATTAAAAGAAAAATATTATTACTTTTGTGAATATTTTTGTAAAGGTCGACTTTATCATAACGAGACTGCATCGCGTGTAGGCTGTAAAGAGGACAATGCGTAACGCGTCCGTGTGGTGTTGTGGTTGTGCCGTGTCGATGACGTGCGGGTGGTGGCTGTGCTGTGGCGTACTGCGTACTGTGGCGTACCGTGGCGTACCGTGGCGTACTGTGCGGCGTGTTGTGTCGGTGTCGCGCTGTGTCTCGCTGGCGACAGGCGAGCACGCGCCCCTCCTGCGCGCGCCGCCGCCCGCGCCCTACTGACACTCTGAGTCCGATTGACTCCCATCGCACCACTGTCCGCTACCAAACTGCCAGACCAGCTTGTAACCCCCACAATCCCTCGACTTTATGCTTCATCATATCTCTTTCCAAGTTTATAAAAATATATATTTTCATATCATAAAATATAAAATAAAAAAGGATCGTATGTCATATTACAAAATAAAAGTTTCATAGAACATATAACGTTGCTTATTTGAAATCAATAGTATTTCTTAAAGCATAAATTATTTTTTATATCTTGAAGCATAAAATGAATCCTACTCCATAATCCCAATCCTATATACTCACTGTATTCATGCAAAACAGTTCAGAAGGTATTGATGAAATACAGTATAATAAACAGTCTGCTATGTCCAAAAAGCCAAGTATTCCTTCTTTCATTTCTTCTTCCATCAGTACTTTCGAAATCATATAAAAACAGTATTTATGACATATCACAATTATTTTCATATTCATGCATATCTCATACACATATCCATATATATATATATTATTAAACTATGTTTTTTATGGTCAATGAAGCTGTGGTGATGGGCTTTTTACCTTTTCATAATTATAATGTTTTAAGGCTTTATATTAAAATATAAAAACCATCCATGCTGGAGAATCTAAACCGGATATTTATTTTTATTCATTAATTTATTTGTTTCAGGCAATAATGACCCGTAATACTAAAATTCATAAAGTATATTTTAGCATTAATTTTTTTTTTAATACAATCCTTTTTCTTATTTAGACCTACTTTTCTCTACTGTTATTATTTTCTGGCATGGAGTATTTATCAATATGAGTAAATATTGCGATAATTATATTGCCTACAAATATTCTGCCTTTATGTATTACTTAAATATAAAATAATATTTTATTATGTAATTTCGTATAAACTTGTGATAACAATCATGACATTAATATCGCTTTAATAATAAGCTTTTCATAGCATTAAAAAATTACAACGTTTGACGTGTAGATGCATAATCAACCTTATCCGTCAAGTTATAAGAGTAGTTTTTAGAGAAATTAGTGCCTAAAATATACATATAAGTATGTATAAGTTATATAAGCATGTGTAGCATCTTTTTGATTTGAGTATTAAGTGTGTGACTAGTCTAGTAAACAATTCGTATTTACATATCTTTCATGTAATTATAAGTAAGTATCGTAATGTTGGTGCATGTGATTCACTTAAAAGGTCTGGATGAGAAAACACAGGTATTTATTTTGGTTCTTAAACTCCTTTATACTCTCTAGTAGGTTAATGGAATGCTGCGCCTAAAGAAGATATTTAATTCTTTTTAAGTTTCCATTGGTATATAAATCCTTAGAATTGGTGCTGTAATGTTTTTTGTAACATTCTCGTTGACGCGGGGAACTCAGTAATGCCTCAACGTTAACAAACGTTTTCTGACCTTATGATTAGTTATGATCCCACCTTAGATTGCCAAAATTAGCCAAATCGCTCCAGTTTTTCTCGAGTTTTAGCGAGGCTAAAGAGTAGCAATTTTTATATAAAAGATTTCAATAAGTATATTTTTATCCCACCTTTCCATAATAAGTCTATGAACTATTATGTATTTCCATCATAATGCTAAACGAAAAACGTCTCAAAAGACCACCCGAACCACAGATAAAAAATGTTGTCATAAAAAAATAAAAGAATGTGTTTTTTTAATCCATGGCCTAATAACAGTATGCTTTAATAATAGTTGTTACCTTTACCCGCTAAGAATATAATTATTATGTAAGCTATATCTAGTTATATGTAGATGTATGTATAAGCTATAAATGCTATAACACTCCCGTAGTCCCATCCTATGTCCGAACTACCAAAGCATGATTGGAAGATCGACAAATGAAGGTAAAGTTTTGTTTTATGTTATTTGTCTCACCTCTCATTAATCGTCACTATGTGTTTTGGATTTTATGTGGTTACTAGACAAAAAATGTTCATTTTCGGCATTCGTTTCTATCTTAATTTCTTTACACCGATTATTTGCGTGTTTACTAGAAAATAAAGATGTTATCTGCTCTAAAATGCATCTTTCCATTTTAAGGGGAAAATTATTTTTAAGAACGTCTGAAAATTGTATCGCTCTGTCCCGAAAACTTGAGAATTAAATAATTAAAAACATTCACCAGCCGCGGTCTGTTTGTATTCAGTTTTAAATCTGTCTATTGGCCACATAAAACCTTATTTCATGTCCCTAAAAGCATAGAAAAGTTGCCACATTCCTAACACATATTTGCAAGACATCACAAAAAACAACGGTCCACGTTGTATTTTTTTAAATGCCTCAATGGCTTTTAGCTTTTGTTGTATTTTTAAGCCATTTAAGTAAAGAGCTTGGACACGTTTTCATTTAACTTTTTATGTTTTCTTTTGGCTTAAAATTACAATATTTTCGTCACATTTGCTAGTTTACATCCACACAACACACTTTGCTTGAAGTTGCGCTTTTGTTTGTTATACATAACCGCCAATTTACTATATACGTGTGATGCTGTCTGAAATGTACTTTAACTACTGGACATAAAGTTTATTTACACTTATGTATTTACTTTCTTTATTTAGAAACATACTGAAATAAAATTGTGCATATAAGAATTCACAATGGTATGATAACAAGCTTGTGCAGCGTACAAATCACAATGTATTTGAAAGTAAATTTCAGACTCAACGTTTTATATTTTTCAACTGGCAACACAGTCAGTGTTTATGTTTTGTGTACCGTCTCTAACAGTCGTCGACACGTGCACAACACGGTAATACGTGGTGTTTTAGCTTGTGTGAATGTTGGCTACATTTGTGAGGTGAAATTATATTCAAGATATTATCATAATATGCACAAAATACTAATGTCATCTTCAAAAAAACCTACCATGGACATGCGTATTTTGGTCATGCAACACTAAAATTTCGTTTACACATTACGATTTTCAGTGTTGATTGTGCTCTTTTGGGGATTGGTGACAGAATACTTATTGATTTGTTTTGATGATATAACAGGTCGTAGGTGTAAACGAAAATGTGAATATCTGTATTTTAACATATAATTTTCTGAATTCGACAGCGACAGACCCAAATGCGTGGCGCTTGGGCCGAATAGAGGAAGCCGACCACGAGACGCCAGTGTGAGGCCGGGCCTTGCACGTAGCGGTGCGTCCGCGCAACAAACGCCCGCGCCGCTAGTGCAAAATACACCTTAACTCGTAAGGCATAAGGTTCACCAGACTGAGCCGGGCTCGTCGGACCTGGCTACCTCAATAATGAACTCTATGTCGAGGACTGTAGGATACAAAAGTCGAACGTTCATATCGTATATAATTATGTAGATCTTATTACAGGAAGTAAGTTGTGTGAAGTGCTGTGGCTTGAGCTGGAAGATTGGAAGTGCGTAATGTCGATGTTCTGGCAAATTCTATTGATTCAATAGACGATTATTTTACTACTTTCACTTACGAATTATAGTTTAATAATTCGATTATAGTGATAAGATAAATAGAATACTATCTAGATGTTCAGACAAAGATTTTTTGAAATCATTCCGTACGTGAAAAGTCGACTAAATTATTTTTAGTCGACTAATGAGAATAACTGTAGAAAAACATGATTTCACGAAATCTTTTCCTCATATAAATAATAATTAATGCATAATAATTTAATCGATAAATTGACTAATCGACTATTGAATCGATTCAATGACAGCCTATTTAACTATTTACACGTCTGAGAGCCATCGTTACTTTGAACTTTTATATTGATGTATAACTACAAAGTACGATGTTCCCTGACATAGTAAACAATGATTTTTAATAAGGAATAGCTTATATGATCTGAAACGAAATAGCACATTGAAAAAAGACTAGAATCATTATTTTGTGTATACTATTTATGTAGATAGACATATTGTAACTAAATATTGATTCGATATTCAAAATGGCATCGTAATGTCCCCAATAAAAGTATAAATCGAGAGGTTATATTTAAATAAATGTTTTGTGTAAATACATTGTAGAAAGAATATGTACGTGTATAAAGAGAATTGAGAAAATTGTGTGTACAAAATGTGTATTCTATTCGATTCTTAGTGGCCATGATGTGGAAGTAATACTTGCCTTCTAAATCTCACAGTTTTATTAATTTAGATGAAGTGACTTTTTTATTATTATTAGAAATTATTCTTATTAGGCTTTGTGAACATTCAGAGCTTCAATTTTTTTTTTGCATTTTTATTCTCATAAAAGGACACATTTATTCTGTAAGAGATTGTAATGAATGAAAAATTTGTTTAAGTATCTGTCTGCTTCTTTGAGAAACTGTGAAATAAGTTTCTCTGTAATTAAACTATGTTCATATGTTTGGATATGGAATTATTATTTTTATGTATTATCATTGTCAGTTGATAGTAAGTGCAGGTCGCTGTTATCAAGTAGCTTTGTGCAAACAGTTGCATATTAAACATAATGTTTTTGTATTTCATATTTACCTCAATTTTTTTATGAGGATAACATTTACTTATTACGTTTATAAAACTGTGATTTTTTCAAGGGAATGCTACAGTTAAGATTCCTGTAATAATATCACTTATCTCTGTCGTTGAACTCCGCGAGATTTATTTTATTAAAACACGCCACATGTTCATGTACCTGATAAACATTTGTTAAAAAGAAACTTGTCGAGTGGACAATTAGTATGAAGCCGCTGAAAACACTGCAATTGGTTTATAATTAATTTTTAAAATAAAATATCATAAAATAAAATTATTATACTACATAGCCCTTGCAGCCATTCCAGTGGCTTCATAGCATTTTTTTCATGATAAAATGAACTATGTCTACTGAAAGTAAGTCACAAATTAAAACGAGCAGGCCTTACAAAGCAATAGCATGTTACCATAGAGGTGCGCAACTGTCCAAATGTTGAACACGATATTTTCGATCTTATTTGTTACCTTGATAAGATAGAAAATCGTTTATAAACACATCGAGCGTTGGACAGTTCCGCCTGTCTCTGAAATTAGAGAAAGAAGAGCATAATATAAAACCGAGTTAATAAATATTAAGCTGAATTGTTGTACAAATGTCGGAGGTACCTATAAATGCACACTACATGTAAAACGATAAGATGTCTGAACACATAATTAGTTGTTTATTTTCAAGTACAATAGTTAAATGTTTGCTTACGACAGAAAATATGGTTAATGCGAGTTATGATATTGTTTTAATCAAGCTGTTTACTCAAGTGCGATCTAAATGAAATAGTCGTAACGAAATTACTTATTTTTATAGTTAGCACATATTTCAGCACAATGTCGAACAATAGATTTTCCCTTTTTTCGTAGTTCAATAGCGAGGCGGTCGTCGGACGCAATGCTGTCGAAACTAATCGGACTTTCACTATGTTTCCGATAGCGTCAGTCGACTGTGCAATTTGTTTTATTTTTTTCTTACGTAACAATTAAACTTTAACAGCAATGACCAATTTATTTTGACATTTTATCGATTTTTTTTATTTTTATTTTGTGATGTCTTCCTATAAGAATATGATGTATAGTATAATTATTGCTAAAGATTTTGTATTTGTTGTGATCGATCGCCTACAAACACATGATAAAGGTGGCTATTATAATTACGTTATTAGTTGAAGGGCGTTCGTGTTGTGGCAGCTGTATAAGTGATCTATGATTTACATTCCGAAATTTTCATTTTTGTAATTGGAATTGTGAATAAAAGTATGTCTAGGAGCCAGAAGCACTGCCAATGCAATAAGATTGCTTGATTTGCGGTCACTGCGTTATAATTTGTAATAAGGATCTCATTTTGTTTTGTATTACGATTTTGATGAGTGAGGAGCACAGTTTTATGTTTACTTGTGGACATTGTTCCATGTTATGGTTGTCGCAAGACTAGTGAGATTGTACAAGTCTTGTGTCAGTGTGAGCACACAGTGTGTAGTATGCCTTAACAAATTGCCATTTGTGATGATTAAGTTATGAATGTGTTGTATGATTAATTGTATTGAAATCATCTTAGTACATGTTGAGACAAATAGAGATAAAAGAAATAAAGTAACAAATTGTGTAAAAAAAATTGTTTTATTTTTTGTGTATATAATTTTTGGTTGCTTTAATAAAAAGGACAGTAAAAAGAAATTAAGTAAAATTGATGATAGTAAATAGTTAATAAAATGCGAAACCTGGGCTGATCCTAAATTTATTAATAAATATTAAATAAGTATTTCCACTATCACACGGCTATGAGTCATCAAACGTCATTCTGCCAACTCCATGTTGTTTGATGTACCTTCTGTACTGTTTGTATTTATTATTCTCTGCTAAAGCTTTCTTAGCTTCCTCATCTTTTATTTCTTTCCAAACTTTAAAGTTTTCTTTTATCCAGAGCTCTTCATCTAAGAACTCTTGTTTCTCTGAATCTTCTATAGCATTGAACTGATGCTGCCCAAGCTTCATGTACTTTCTAATTAAGTACAGCTTTTCCTCCTCACCATATGGACGCTTCATTAATGTGAAATTCCAGAACCACCTTAAATACCAATAAATATAGTAGGCAACAGTGTATGGTAAGATAATGAGTTGTACCCACAGAATGTCTACTATCTCTGGCTTAGCATAAGATCCCTTGATGTCCATTTTCTCCTCAATCACCTTCCTAATAAGTCTATCTTGTTCCACTTTCTGTTCAGCTTTTGATTTCTTTGGGCCTTTACTTTTTGATTGAACTTCTTTCATTTCAGTTTTTGCTAATTCTAGAGCCTTATTTCTATACTTTGGCACTGTCATAAAATATTTAATAGCGGTATCGTACTTGGACCACGCGCTGTAGTACTGAATGATTGATATAATGGTTATAGTCACGGCGATCACGATTCTGACGTCGACTTTCGGTGCCATACGGCGTCGGTAATACCTGTAGTAGTGAGCGTAGTACTCCTGCGGGTTGTCCAACATGTAATCATAGTCAGATCTTTCTTCATCATCGCGCAAGATCTCGTACGCAGTGGCTATTTCTTTAAACTTTTCTTCGGCCTCCTTTTTAGTTTCGGGTGTTCTGTGTAAATCAGGGTGAAATTTTTTGGCCAGCTGTCTATAGCTTTTAGCAATCTCATTTTTAGTAGCTTCTCTTGTAACACCGAGAACTTCGTAACAATTTTCCTTTCCACAGTAAATACCTTCCAGCAGATGATCCGCTGATGAGACGACGGTGAACTGCCATGTTACACAGGCAAAGATGAAGTAATTGTATTTAAGATTCATTTTTATTTTAACACATACTCTATGTTATAAATGCAATTAACTGAGACTAGTAACTAGATATAATTAAAATGTAATTCACAGCTTTTTAAAATATGCTACGATACCAACACGACTGATTGTCAAACTGACAATACCTAACCTACCTACTACCTAACTACCTACTAAACGCAAACTGTCAACGTCACAGCAACGTAGCTTATTTATATTGGCAAATATTTTTTCTCTATGGCAAATAGAGGCTTGGATTAAAAAAAATCATTTTCGTATACTCATTATTAATTATTACTCATATCTGATTACTAAAAAGCATAAATGAACTACAGAAATACATAAGTAATGGCAGATCGAGCGATCGATTAATGGGAGTGACCTAACAGTAATAAGTGACACTATGCCATTTTTGTACAAAATGTCAAGTTTGACAAGACAGACACTATATTGTCAACTGTCATGGTCACACGTGTTTGCAATTTACATTTTTTCTGCAATATATTTTAACTTTGTATAAAATAAAAGATTAAAATGATAGAAAGCGTGCTAGATAATTTTTCGGAAAAGCTTTTTTTATACTTAACGGGAAAACCGAAAGATCAAAGAAGCCTTTTAGTGAAGAAACATAATGAAAATTTTTGTACCCATGGCGATTATAGTTTTCCTAATTCACTGAAATCTTGGCATGAATATGTGACCTATGATCAAGAAGCTGATCAAGCAACCTTAACATTACTACAAGCAATTGGTAAAGAGTGTAAAGACATATTAGAGGAATCTCAAAAGTGGGAATTGGCTGTGCAGCGAGCAAAAGAGGAGAAAGGGCGAATTTATTTGTTTTTAGATCGACCAAAAACTATTCGTGCGGGTTTGATAGAAGGTTTACGGAATAATGAAGTGCTATCACAGAAGTTAAGCGAAAGTGTATCAGAAGTGCAGTTGGATCCTTCATGTGAAAAGGAGTCCGATCCAACCTCCTTACGTGCGAAATACGTTTGTAATGTCGTAAAGAACTTATGTACGTTGGGTAAAGTGAATGCGCCTATAATGGTCACTGCAAAGTCCTCTACCACATGTGAGGGATGCCACAAAGTGCTCTGTGGGACAGTACTTAATTCTAAAACTGGAGCTAAAGAAGTTACTATAAGAGCAGATGATTTTATTAGGTAATTATCATTTCCATCATGTTACAATAATTGAAATAACATGGTCCTCCACATGATATATTGATACATAGTCTAAAAAAATTTCATTTTAATATAAAAACTGTAAATGATAGTACCAAGGTGTTAAAAGCATAAACAACAATAATGAGATTTATTTATTTTTAATTTCCAGGTTAAGACAAGACGAAATGACCCTCATAGCACAACACAAGTATGGCGTCAGAGTGTCTACAGATACAAAATGGAAGGAGTTCATAGCACATTTAGGGGAGTCTGCAGTTGCTTTTGAATTGCTACAGACAAAGCCTAGTAGTGCAGTCAAGATCAATTTTGATTGCTCAGCTGGGTCTAGCAAAGGTAAATACTTTCTAACATAAATCTATTTTGACCCCAAGACTTGAATGAAAAATTCCTAATACCACATTAATAAAACTTAAAACATACATGAAAAATAATAAGAATTTTATGCAGCACAAATATAAACATATATTAGACCACAATACCAGTTAATTATTATATATAGCTCATTTTACTTAAATTGGGTTCCAAAGTAATCATGAGTGACCTTGTGGTCACCTTATTGCAATCAATGCCACATGAACTAATAAAAAATACATTACATTTAATTTTGGTTTCAGGTGCATCATTCATATTGTACAATTGTGCCCGTCTGGAGACTATAATAAGGACATACAATGACAAAGTTGCTGATGGGACCTATCCAGAGTTGCCTCATTTTGATGATGTTGATTTCTCATTGTTAGTACAAGAGGTATTGGATGATTTTTAATTTTATTAAGTTTGTATCTTGATGTATTATAATATTCTTGTCATATCATTGATCAATAGTATGATAAATACAAGATATGGCGTGGTTTGCCATTCAATAGTATGAAAGTATACTGTATTCTTATAAAATTCTCAGGCAGTATAAACAAAAGTTGAAAGAGAAACAAATTTGTTTCTGATAATAGTTGTATTATAATACACCAAAAATTATTCACATTAACTGTATTTCAACAAACTAAAATACTTATTTTTGTTACAGGATGAATGGCACCTCATATTCAACTACATTCTAGGATTACCATCTCTACTAAACAATAGTGTTGAGTTCAACAACCGAGTCTGTGAGTTCCGACCACATCAAATCTGCAGCTACCTTTGTTCCATGGTTAGAATATTCAGCCAATACTATAGGAAAACCAGAATACTTGTGGTAAGTCAAATAAACTAGTGACAAGATCAAGAAAACAGGATAAATATGTAAATTATTCAGTAATTTACTGCATAATCATGTAATTTTATTGTCAAATACTGTTAGACATGTTTGCTGTGTAAAAACTGTTCAAATACCTTTTGTTCTGTTTTTGTGCTCACAGAATTAATTGTTGTATGCAATAGCAATTTGTCAAATGCCATTCTCAATTATGTTGGGTAATTCATTGTAAGAATTTTGTATTGGATAAGAATTCTGGTTCATTGGCATTTTAATTTTATTAAGCTGCAATGATAAGGAAAATTTAAGCTATTTTTATTAAAATACAATTTGTAAAACATGCAACTAAGTATTTTTGCACTTCAACTAAAATACCTAACATGAATCCAATTGGATTACTAATTTCAAACTGGATTCTAATAAAATTGAGAAAGCTATTTCCTCTTTCCAGGAGCCCAGAAAACATCTGCTTCCAGTAATATTTGCTAGAATCCATATGCTGAAAATATTAAATGAAACACTCAAGACCTGTCTGAACATTTTAAACATTAAAAGTGTTTCCCAAATGTGAATCATAATCTTTTATTGCTTGGTATTTAAGAATTTAAATTACCCTATTAGAATATATTATAAATTAATAATATGAATTCATGCAATATGAAATTCTTAAATGCTACTTCTTATTATTGGCGTTTATCAGATGCTTTAATCTTAATTTATTTGGGAATAGTCGGCGAACTTTTATGTTTATAACGTTGATTTACGAGGAAGCCGCCTCAAGGCCGTGAGTGCACTTCACTGTGACACCGACATGCACTGCTGTAATCAAATTATCCAAGAAATAAAAGTTGTTCAATATCAAACTACACTACAAAGAGCGCGCATAGAAAAAAAATGTTTTGTTTGGAAACACAAAGTTCACGTGATTGACCCAGGTATTTTATTGTGGGCATTGCTGCATCGCGATTGGCTCACCGAGCGGGGCACGAGCGCCGCCGACAAATCACGAACCGCTTACACGGTCGCGCGTCCCAAGTCGCCTAGTGTGTTTTTGACATCGGTAAACGCAGTCGTGAACTTCGGAGCGCATAGATACTTTTATTTATAGTTTAAATCGAATAAAGTCGCTTTGCGTTTGTGAATACCTGTGCTTATCCGGGATACAATAAATATGAGTATTGCTGCTCTGATCCAAGCTGCTGAATACATCGAAAGGCGCGATAGAGGTGATTTGGATTTTCTTTGTTTGAATTGTCAATCGAGTGCAACTACACGCACACGTCAACATGGCTCCCGTCTATTTTTGCCGTGCTATAATCAGCTGATTTTGACGGAATGGCAGTGTACTTTGTTGCAGAAGCTGAGCACGGATACGCGTCGAGTTTACCGGCGTACGAAGAGTCCCGCTCCGGCGGTAGGCGGCCGAAGACCAAGAAATCGCAGGGCAGCAGGTGAGTTGCGGCCGGTGTAGTGCTAGTGCAGTGATAATATGTGATCTCAGTGGTGTTATGTGTGAAGTGTCGGCGTGTCGTACAATATCGTATGTTTTCTGTTCCAGGACCACTCATAACGAGTTGGAAAAAAACAGGTGAGTGTTTATATTTTTACTGATATGATAGTTAGAAGTCGGGTGTGTATGCGGTGGTCATGTGCCGGTGGCGGGTGCCGGCGCGCGGTGGTTTATCGCGTGGCGCAGTGACCTTGGCAGCCGTCTAGTCGGCAAGGGAAAGAGTGCATGATCGTAATGAGACGGGTGGGGCGGATGACGCTCGTAACCCATTTGGCAGCACTGCCACGGCCGGCAGGGCGCTGGCTGCCGTTACGTCACGTAGCTAGTGATCTTCCTCCGTCGTCATCACGGCTACCTGTAGGTCGCTGCGTGTTTACGCGCCGTGTTTGGTTAGGCCGAGTGGCCCGACGCTCGTCCACCAGCCAGCTCCGTTAAACGAGGACGATTTGCGAAACAAAGCCAGTCTACGTGACATACTATTTCGCCTACATAGTTATTTACTCGCGTTGAATAGGAATTTAGAACCGTAACTTGTTAGCTAGGCAGTTATTCTTGTTTCTTTAAAGTAAGAAAACATAGCCCATAGTTCCCCTAGCTCATGGTTCTGGGGACTATTGCATTTTATCCTAAGGCTTACGAAAAATCCACATTTGCAATTATAAACATGGGCCCTTTGATGTTCTCGAGAATAGTGGTGATCAGGCCTCGCCACGCCACACCAAACCCTCCGGTCCGGAGTCCGGAGAATAATAGGAATTTGATTGCGAGAGACCTTTAATAATTTTTGAATTATGAAAGTGGAGAAAGTACAGTTGGCATAATAAAATTTTAAGTTATTCATCATCCCCTAATAGAGGGGAATGTGCCTATTTGCCTAAGTTAGAGGCCGGTTTCACGATTGAATTTGTTATTGCGACGAGAGGCAATAGGGCGGTGGCAGAGATTATTTAATTTATGGTTCGTTACAGATAGTAATGCAATTGAACTATTTATTCGATTCGATGAATTGAATTCGTTGACGAGTCACTGGTACACAGTAGTAATGCTATCAAAGCAGGTTTTTTAAGGTGAAACGTCCATTATAGAGACTGTTTCGCATATTGATGGAGAGATTTTAATCGCCGACCTGCCAAATGTTTCTGAGCAACTGATAGACAGCTATTAAAGCCCATTCGTCAACGCATTTTATTATTTTTTGCTTGTATCTTTGTACAAAAACTGATACGTCGCGTAAGTAGAGAAGCAGCGATTAGTTCCACTAAAATCGTTTTTACGCGTCTCGTTTTTGTCGTTAATTCACATTTCATACGCGAAAACCTTTCTCTAAACCGTTGGTAACATAATAATTCACGTCAAAAACCGTTTCGTATTTTCTGGGCTGTATCAGTTGTGTTATTTACTCTGTTGCCACGGACAAATGCACGTTACCATGTTTATCTTCAGCATATAAATAGCATCAAGTAATTGAAATTATGTGTGGCATATCTCGAGTGGTCGACAACTGCAACGCAGTCCATAAAACTATTCTGCACTCTGATATAAAACCTATTTATTGTTGCCTGCAATGTATACAGATAACATAAAAAACCTCGTTCGTATTTAATCGTGTTAACAATTAACTGTTCTGTAATGACTGTTTATTATGCGCTCGTTATAACAATTATTCCATGAGCGTATGCGTCTTCTAGTTTGTATTTATCTACAGTTTTTACAAGCTTTCTTCTACTTACCTAGTTGGTAAATAAAAATGTAGGTTCATTTTTATTTTATATATCTTATAAAACGTGTCCAAAACGAGAATACGTCGTGATATTTCTCTTAAAATGTAGGGTGCGGTCTGGGTCACGTTTCCGAAGTGCAGCGACTCTAAATTTTATTATTCTCGCCAAAATATTACGTCTTTGCTAACAGGGATATTTTTTCTCCAGTATGTATCCGAAACGTCGACATAGGAACTAAAAATATTGTAGGTATATTTATGAAATTAAAAGCCTAACAAGTTACAATCTTCTTCAAACGAAATGAAATGAAATTTTCGACGTTGATTCAAAGGAACCTTCTATTTTCATTTCTTACTTATCTAACACCGTTCAAGTTAGGCAGCCGTCAGCTATTATTGTCTCACGTAAAATTATATTTCATTTTGAAACAGTTCAAATGACTTTCATTATTTCATCTGACAAACAGGAATATTAAAGGTTACAGAATGCCGAAATGTCTCTTATATGAAATCCGGTGTTTACTGCTAAATGTGACATATCACGAATACAGCGAATACTGAAATGAAAACCGATTTTAGGTCGTATTAAATCTTGTGCTTCTGACAATTCTATGAATTATTGTTCTGTTAAGTATAGACAGATTCTCGTTGATATTTTTCATATGTGCAAGTTAGATTTTATACCGTAGTGTCTGAACGCATCCCAGTATATCGCAGTGTAGTCGGGCTGGTCATAGGCCTCTCCTAGGTTGCGCCACACCCCGTCAAACCAGAAAATCGCCTCATTGTAGATGAAGAAACTAGTCGTGCACTTACTAATGAACTCACGAACAGATTCTCATGCTTGTGGAGGTTAAAAAACGGATTGAAAGGATGACTAGAATCTAGATGTACAACGCTGAGGTATTATGGACAAGCTACTCGGTACGTATTAGGTACTTACATTGGTATCATGATCACCACAGCTTTGTGTTAGAGGTAGGTCCATTGTTCTAATTCTAATAATAGGTTGTTCCAGTGACGTGCCCGTTGATTTAATACCTTGCTTCTAGGTAGAACTGATAATGGTATCTTATTAATCTATGCTGTAATACATAGTTCTGTGTGTATGTTGCAACGCGCACATTGACTCGCCTGAATAAAAAATCTCTTCTACGTTCAAGTTCAATGGTAAAACAACAGAATTTCTCCGATAATTAATAAAGCAGTGTTGAGTAAATAAACATTGTTTATTACGATCACATATTTATTGCATTTTATAAAAATATAACCCATATAACCTTATTAGAGGTAAAATTCGACCAAACGTCATCAGTAATTACTTAGTTAATATTTAAACACATGGACTAGAATAGATAATATGGGGGGGAAGCAAACAACGATGCAATTAAGTTTAGCAGTAAGATGCAAGATGGTTAATATTTTATCAATGTTAACGAATTGTTGTCTTAATTTAGTGATTATAAAACACATATTTCCATCAAAATTAAGCGAATAAATGATAAATATTTTTATCACGACAAGGTACTTATCCATCTATCCCGTCTGAAAGATACAGGCGCGATTTAATGTTTAATTAACGTATTCTCGTTAATTGAACATAAAATATTAACTAAGTCGTACTATAAGGTTACTAACTTCCATCTTTTATGTTATTAGTTTAACCCCAAACCAGTAGCGAAAGCTCTTAGATTTAATTATAGAAGTAGTGGAATACGCAAATACGCTTACTAAACAACGTAGGTATTCCACTATTCGAAGATTGTGATGATAAAATTGAGTTTGTTAACTATATTTGTACGTGACTAACTTGGTTATTTCAGCAGTTTTAAGTTACTGTATTTTAAAATGTATTAGGTTATGTCTGTTGTATAGTTTTTTTTTTTTATATTTGACAATTGATTTGACTTTACGTGTTTCTGGTCGATGACTCTCGCTGTTGCCACAGACTGTACCAGCTCCATTTCAATATAAGTATTCTTTGCATAGAAAATAATAATGGGAAGCATTGCAATATTGGTAAACTCAATAGTACATTATCTGACGTGGCAACCCAAACATACGGTAGCTGGAGAGACCTGCGGAGCCGTCAAGTCCTATTTTAATATATTCGGAAAAGGTTTTCCGAGTGCGGGAATGTTCTTATAAATCTGTTGGTTAGATGTGAGCATGATTGATGGACAGTAAGTAACATTACGTAAACGCCCGTTGTGTGAAAAATATTTTCACCAACAATGTTGTATGCACGCAGAAACTAACGCCGACGTGTTTTTAGGTTACTTTCTCTCGAAACATCTATCCACTTTGTGTTTCGCCTAGGAAACTGTCTGCGCCTGAATGT